GCGGGCAGATGGGGAGCTGTGTCTCTGCAGTGATTTCCTATGCATGAGCTTTCTAATCAGCGAGAGAGTAAGACGATTCCCTTGCTCCTTGCTAGGAAAAAGGTGAGCTTGCGTGAGCATGCACAAATACATTACGTGCACACATGTTCTCTCACTCACAATTTGCAATCAATATGCATGCTGCGTTGTGGGGATATTGGTGCAGTGGCGGCAGTGACAGGGTTCATTACCGGAGCTCACCTTACAACGCCGTGATGGCTTAATGTCGAAGACCAGGCCTGGGCTCGAGTTGATCCTTGCACCCTGCTATTCACCAATTTCAGCCCAAGCTGAGGGATAATTTGACCTGAAAGGCTACATCCACATAAGAGCAATGACTTCCAATAACAGAGTCAACTGAGTGTGACCCACAGAACAGATGGGATAGGATGCTCCTCACGCAAACAAATAGGGTATTCCTTTATGCTTTACTGTCGATGTAATGTGAGTCTTTTGGGCCTCGGCTGGAGGTCTAGGTCAAATGGGCCATCCAGAACCAGATTGGCACTTTGGGTGTAGGAAGAGATGCTCGTTTATTTAATTTTCATTCCTCATTTCAGCCTGAGCAGATCCAGATCCTAACAGCAACATTAGTCGGATTTCTGGGAAATTTCTGAGACGGGAAAGGTGACTGGGATATACGATGGCTCAGTCTCCTACTCTGCTGTGTCTCCACACCAAACTGTCCCTTTCAGGACTTTGCTAAAACATCTGAATATCTTGACTGCTTTGGCAGTGAGTGACATCACAGATCAGCGTCACGATGCATCCATGGACACAATAGCAACAAACATTTTATTCCATCAGAGTGTCGTGATTTGGGGAACGGTGAGATGTAAAAAGTGGCGTTCAATGACCAGAAGAAGCATTGATTTTAATGTGCTCTGTAGGAAACCCCCCCACTGTGTCATATCCATGCGCCATGCAGCGGCGGCTTACAGCGGTGCTTTGTCATAATGTAGTCCCAAGTCTAAATCGGCTCCTGGAAATCCTTCATGTTACTTCTTACTTTTCATTTGTAGTTGACGTGATTACCGAGCTCACCAGGAATAATCACTTTTGGACACAAAATGCTAGTTCACGTCCATTGTTCACGCCAAGCTAAAGCAGACGGGCTGCTGCCAGACCAGGAGAATTACTGCGCCGGTTCCAAAATGCTTTTTTCTCACTCACCTAACTCTGGGGAATACGGAACGAGACAAAATTTCACTTGGGGGTGGAATATCCCTTTAATAATTAATAAAAGAAATGCAGACATCATCCAATTCTCTTTAAAGCTTGTCAATAAATGGGATAATTTAATTTAGGCATATTATTCAAATATTCCTAAACTTAACCTTAACAATCCAAGGATCCCAACGAGGCCCTGTACAGAAGCAAGGAACACAAACAGCCCATGTGAATCTCATCATCTGTCAACCAAACCCACGGCTTGTTCACTCAGCATCACAAGACAACCAGCCACTGTCACTGGACCTGGGGAGTATTGTTCAAACCACAGGGAGGCATTGTGCTCTCAGACAGCACTCAAGACTTCCCTGATGTTTATTCCAATAAACAAGTGCAACAGTGGGACGGATCTTTGTCTTTCCCCCCCAAAATAACACTGGTGGCTGTTTGTCTTGCCACGGCTTTGCACACCCACTCGGTTCAGTTTTCCCCGTTAAGTTGCAACCAAAAAGGCAATCATCGAAAACTCGCTCCACTCGCTTCCATTTTAATGAGTCAGCTTTTATTTTAAGAACATTATAAAAGGGAACTGCGGCAGCTTTTTATCCACTTGATAACACTTAGCTAATTGCTGCCTCCTCATAGACAAAAATTCAAATAAGCCATATGCAGCCACGTGCGCACCAACAGGATTTCACTGAGTTTGTCTTATCTGTTTTAAAGTTGGCTGTGAACAGAAAACGTTTCCCTTGTTTAATAAAAGTCTCTGAAAACCCAACCGTAACTCTGACAAGTGCATACTTTTTGAAACAATCATAAAAGCCCTGCAAAATCTTTTTTACTCGTGTTATCAGTCAATTACAGAAACAAGTGACCACTGGTTTAACACGCTGAACTTGAAAGCTTTTACACTCTGATATAAAACGCTCTCTGGGGGAAAAATGTGTCAGACCTCAATTTGCAGTTTCACACTGAGTCACCTGGGAATTCAATGGGCTCTAACTGAATAGGATGTACAATGGCATTGTAAATGTTAGAATGTGTTGATAAATGTCGCAGTTAACCGTTTTCGTAAATGTCAACCAGACAAAACTATGAATGGATGATAATGGAAAAAAAAATCACATCAAGTTCAATTTTAATTGTTCAACAATGGCTTTTTCTTCACGAGGACTGATCTTTCTGCGGTAGCCTCGAACGCTGCTTGGGTTTCAGGCCATGATAACCAGAGCTTTGGAGGGACAGCCACAAAAGACAGATCAATCCATCAGCGCAGAGAGGTGGGCCAACTGTTCCAAGTCTTGCACAAGGGGTTGGCGGAAAGGGGAGGGGATGGAGGAGATAATTTAGCATTTGTGTAAGCTGTTTATCAAATTATTAACTGCACAGATGTTCCTGACTAGCTAGAGGCTGAACATGAGCTCTGCCAGGCAGGGGAACAAAGGTCTGAAGGATTCAATGGAGATGTGCACTGAATATCAATTTAATTTACTAGCTGTTAATTCTCATGCAAATTGTGACCTCTGTTAGGGCGTATCAATGCCTATACACGTTGTATGCTGTCAGAGGGGTTGCGAAGTGACAAAAGCATTGCAAAGACCCTGCTAAAAATTACAAATGGTAACATAGATGCTTTACTGCACCCATTAATTAATTATTTTAGTCTATAATGATAACACTTGGAACTAGTTTATGGATTTGCAGAGTTTAGTTTTTTTTTCTAATTTGAAGGAATTTTATTGTAGATGATAAATAGTTTGGTTAAATTGGAAGTTTATGACGTACGTTTTAAGTTCAGTCTGCATCTTTTCTGCACTTTCATTCATGGTTCTGTTCAACAGAGAAAGTAAGCAAAAAATAAACAAAAGAGGAAAGTATGTGTATACCACAATCACAATATGGTGGGCAATAATCATGCATGCATTGTATGACATCAAACAAAGCATGATCACGGGCAACATCCTTGGCTGAGCTCAGCTGGAACAGCAGAGCTGCAAGTCTCATTTTCTTCATCTCCAAAGTACTGCCTTTCAGCTCTCTGTAGCACAAACAAAAAGCCTGGCAACAACATCAATTATACATGCTGGAGGCAAACAAGGGGATTTATTTCACAACAAATAGCCTCATGCTGCGATGTTGAATGGAGAAGATTAGCATTAGACAAGGACAACAAAACTCCCCAATTGGACAGGCCTGGAATTGGGGAAATTGGTTGATTAGGATGTGCACTAGGAGGGGCTGTCAATTTCAGAATTGTAGCAAGGATGTGTACGGTGTCGTGGTTTTTAGAACATGAGCTGGAGGTATAACATGACATTTTAAAAGCTGTCATTGATGAACTTTGATAATGTAAGATGATTTCTGGGGATGATAAGCAGTCATCTGTCTAAATGAGATCATCAGTCTGTCAGAAAAAAAGGGATGCTTATCAGTCAAAAGACAAAAACAATCTGATGAATGACATTCAGAAAAAAATTAAAAAGTCAAGATACCACCTCTGTTAGTCAATATATATTGTATGTTAGTCAAGATTACATTGAACGCACTTTATTAAACTTTTATATAATATATAAGTATAATAAACTTTTAAAATAAAGATTTACTAATTGTTCAACAAATGCACCAATTATGCAACGTGATAAAAACATTTTTAAGGTACAACTTAGTTGACCTATATAATCACGTCTCATTTTGTCCCATGTGCTCTTTGTGTTTACCAGCAGTATGAGCGGGAGGCAGTTACTATGGTAACCAGCGTAAACACGTAGCCTTTCATCCCCCTCCTCCTGCTCATCCTCCCTTGTCCGTGCGTGCTCTGCAGAAGCGCCCAAGCCAGGGGAAAATGGCAGACCCGTTGGCAGACCGGTATTTTGAAAAGATTGCAGCCATTCAGCTAAGCATGAATGAAAAGTAAGTTTTTCGCCGTTTTTTATCACGGAGGTGGTCCGGCCTTGATAAACCGCGGGCTCGAGTTGTTGCGTATACCGCCTCGTGGCGTCCGTCTGCCGCTTGAGTTCGACGACCACTACGCTAGCTTTATCCAGGCTGCAGCTAGCTAACAGCAGCGACTTTCGGTCGGTATTCTTCCTCGGGGGAGCAGAGCTGACTGTCGTGGATGAATATTTGTGCATTTCACGTTTACGATGTTTTAATGATTCGCATTTTTATCAAGCGGCTAGGAAATTTGTGAACGACCATCGCTAGCATTGCTAGTTAGCCTAATTGGCTGCTAATAGTGGTTTCAGTGGGTTACTCTCTCTGTTATGCTTGTGTGCAGAGAGAAACGGAGGCTGGAGCTGGAGAGGGATCTGTTTGCTTACTCCAGATCAGATTCAAGAATGTAAGTTATACTGCACTACAGCATATGAACGATAAGAAGGTGTTCGTATTTTCTATTTAAGGCATTTTCCCCCCATTTTAGACGATCTTTACTCACATATCACCTGTTCCCATTCACTTTTATCCTTGTTTTGTTATTAAAAACCACTAAACTGATTCGTGAGTCGTTCAGACAAGCTATAAAATTCATAAAATTAATTATTTCAAATATAGGAGACAATAAGTGATACATTTAAATAGGATCTTTAATGATTTTGATACAATCTGCATGTTACAAAGACTTTTTTCTGTTTTTCTTTTGCTGATTCTACATTTATTTTAGATAAACTTGGTCCACAGACACATACTGTTATTTTAGATATGTAAGCAGAAAAGTTGATAAGGATGATGCATGTGTCAGATCTTTTCTTATTTCTAAAAAACATAACTGGCAGATTTTGTTCCTCTTCTGTAATCTCTTTAAAGGTCTGACACTTCTTCTTTTGTCCAACACTTGTCTAATTTATTTGAACCATTTAAGTACTCACAGCTTATAATACTATCATGATCGGGTTCAAGGACTGGGAAAGAGAATTAATGAAAAGAAAAACGTTGCAACACTCCCAGAAAGACTGGTGAACTATTGATCAAGACCTCTTTAGAGGATTATAGAAATTGTGGCTTTTTGAAAATAAATTCTAATGGAAAAAGTTTGATATTTTATTCAGCAAATGTATTTTTTTTATTTGGTTCAAGGAACAAGAGGGCATTTTTGGTAAAATGGTAAACCTGCCATCATAGTGATTTGTATTCCAGGTCAAAAGCTTGTGTTGATATGGAAGCTGTGAACATGATTTAAATTTAAATCATATTGTGCTTAACCTTTTCTTTGCAAAGTCTAGCTCTTATTTTTTTGACACTGTTCCCAGATAATATTTCTCTTCAATAATGGTTCTCCGCTGCTTTCAGCTTGCAGATAAAGAGTTCCAAACTGCGCAGCTATCTCAAAGAAATCTGCGACAGGGAAGCACGAGCGAAAACGAGAAACCTCGAGCTTCTGAGAGATGTGGAGAGGGTGGAAATTAGCATGAAAGAATATCATCCTGACCTCGTGCCCCTGCACAAACAAAAGGTAAAACACACATTTGTCCATTTTTATCAGTTCTGTGACCTAGATTTCATTTAATCATTGTTGTGAATGTTATTTTTTAAGAGACAGCCCTTCTAACTATATATTACAATAAAATGAACAACTCAATGGCTTCTCTGTGAATTAATATTTATAGATAAAATAAGAGACGTAAACAGGCTATTTCATTAGCTTACAAATGTGATGTGAAAGTAGTAAACACTCAGACGGTGCAATTTATCATCACCACAAGCAAATGAACAAGGGACAAAACAATGAGCCAGTCCGATTATCACTTAAAACTCAATGACGGTGCTTGACAGCTTAATATCAAATTAGCAAAATTGGCTAATTATGACTCACTGAGTTAATTACTCAATATAGAGACTCTGAAGTGCTCCAGAGGTTTAGTCATTCTCTCCCCTCAAGCAGTTGGTTTATTTCCTCCCCTCGCTTTTAGTCCTAAATGTTTGCTTCTGTTCTGATCATTCTGTTTGGGATCAGTTCTATGAATTTCTGAATATAAATCCTCAAAAAGACACTATGTATGTGTTTGCTTTTGTTGTGGTCGTGTAGTTTAGTTTTAAACAAACAAAAAAAGTTCTGGTTGGATCCTTTAAGATGAAAAAGTCTTATTTTTATTGATAAATGTTACAGGTTTGATGGAACATACTCACTCGCACAATCTTTGGTGATTGTCACAAAGTAATTCATTTTTTAAATTTAGAAATGGACTGGTGTGGTTTTTCTAAAGCCGATACCGCTGAGGTCACATTCAGCTGATGGCTGATGTGTGCTGCTGATTTGTTTTGGCCAATAACTAGATTTTTTTCATATTATTTGCCTGCTAAAGTGTCAGACAAATAAAAACAGTGATTGCGCAACATTCCCAAATCCAAATCAGTTTCTGAACTCTGAATTTAACAAACTGTTGAATCTTAATTTTGTGCACGGCTTGGTAATAAGACCAAACACTTAACCAAAGTTAACCAAACCAATCAACAAACCTACAAAACAGGTAAGTAAAAAGAAGTTGACAACATTGTTGTAGAGCATTATTTAAGCAGGTGATTTTCAGCAGTACCAGGCTGCCCACAGATGTGCCCGTTTTAATTGGGCTCTACTAAAGGGGTATATCAACTGATGTGATGTAAAAACATGGTAAATATCAACCTATCCCTACTTAGTTTCGGCATTGCCTATACATTCTATTAGAACTAGAGGTCGACCGATATATTGAACCTTTTCTAAATCGGCCATCAGCCGATCAAAAAAATAAATGACAATCAGGCACCTGTGTGGCCAACTGCCGCCCCTACTAGACTGAACAAAGGACCCCAACACACCGTGAGCCAGCCTACTCAACAGCACTGTCCTTATGTTGAAATAAATGGTAATAAAACAATGTGAATAAAAGGAAGGAATGGATTTTATGTTTTACTACAATGTGGTAGTGTGCTTTACTTATTTATTTTTTTTACTTGAAGATTCTACCTCGACCAGCCACTATTTAGCACCAATAATTCCGGGTGCTGTTTGATTTTCTTTCATTTAAACACTAAAAAAAAACTTGAATCTGTTCTATTTTCTGTTGTTCTGAGACTGTTTTCACATTGTTAATGTTTCGAGTTTGTTTTATATTTAAAGTTCAGTAAATATTAAGAGATTTATTAAGTTATTTAATTTTTAATGCACACAGGGAATGTTCAGTTGTCTTTCACAATCAATGTGTTGCTAAAACGTGTCTGTCTATCTATCTATCTATCTATCTATCTATCTATCTATCTATCTATCTATCTATCTATCTATCTATCTATCTGTCTGTCTGTCTGTCTGTCTGTCTGTCTGTCTGTCCGTATAGATAGATAGATAGATAGATAGATAGATAGATAGATAGATAGATAGATAGATAGATAGATAGATAGATAGATAGATAGATATAAATATGTCATCCTTAATAATTGGCTTTAGATATTGGCCATCAGCAACAAAATTCTTTAAAAATTGGTATCGACCTTAAAGGGACATTATGGAAGTTTGACAGCCAAAACATGTATAGAAATAATAAATGTCTTCTTCATACATTCTCCTGCAATGCCCTGGTCCTGTAGAATGAGCCCTGGCATTTTTACTGTGATTGCCTGTTTTTCTGTAAAATCACAGAAAAAGAGAGATGCTCGGGTCGAGCAGGCTGCTTCATGCGCGTTCACGCTCAGGCATCGCCCGTAGCATTTGCTATCCGTAGCTTTAGCAGCAGAGAGAGAGGTAATGCCAACTCAGCGACTTTGTCGCTGTTCCTAACGCCTAGTGATGAACCTAGCTACATTTCTGAGGACCCTTAGCTACTTTCTTCTAGATATTTCCTGCAAATTAGCAACACAATAGCCATTTTCGCTCCGAACCGTTTTTTGAACGTTGTTTCAGCTGTCATCACGGATATAAAAGCTACAGATACAGAAGACATTACTGGCGCTTTAGCTCACCTAGTTTGAAGACGGACTCCCATGCGGAAGATCCGGGTTTGAATCTAGATGTGAACAAAATTTATTTAGAGTTAATTTTTTACATTAATGGTATATTTTTTACAGTAAGATGCCCAAATTTTTATTTGAGACTCGCCGAACGGCATTGAATTCACAGATAAAAAAGATGTGGGTTCAACTTTCATTTTGGAACAATTTTTCAAGCAAGGGAAGGGAATGATCTGTGAAGCTGATGGACTGACCCATCTTTGTCGGCTGTGCTGAAGAGAAAGGTACAGAATCAAATTATTTAATTAATTAGCTGCGCGTTCTCCTGTCCTCTGTCCTCCGGGCCACACACACACACACACACACACACACACACACACACACACACACACACACACACACACACACACACACACACACACACGGGACTGCCTCAGCTGTTATTTTCGTTAAGGAGTGTGCACGTACAGCATGCGCGCCTCGTGCACGAGCCTACTATTGAAGCTGCCGTTACGCTTTTTGCCTGAGGGGGCAATCGCGAGCATAAAAATTCAAAACTCTGTAAAGTCCCGTTAAAAAAACTCATATCGGTCGGCCTCTAATTAGGACGTGCTATCTCAACAGACTTTCTCATTTTTTTAAAACTAATTTTCTTTGTTACAGGCTGACTTTTTAAAAAGGATCCATAAATTCCAAGAAGGAAACAAGAAGATGGAAGCAGAAATGGTGATATTAATATATAAATGTTTTTAGAAATGTGGCTGATAAATATTTATATTTGGAATTTGCATAACTGTATTCAATAAGAATATGCAGCATTTCATGCATATTATATCTGGTTACTAGGGATGCAGTGATATTAAAACATGAGCTGATATCAATATCTGATATTCATAATGTCGTTATGGCCGATAACTGATATTATTGACCAAATGATTTACACATCCCAACCCCTTCCTATCCCAAAACAAAAACACAAATGGTAACTAGATGGAAATAAATATGGGTTGTTAATATCGGACCAGTTTTACTAATCAGGCCGATACTGATAAAGTAAAAATTGCCAATGTTGATGCCGATATGTCGTGCATCCCTGCCTGTGACTACAGTGATTCGTGCACTTTGCTAGATCCTTCTATTTTGAAATGTTTACAAGGTCTATGCAAATTCCATCTCTTTCAAGTTGTGCTTTCTGATTTTAGAGTAACAAAAGAAAGTGGACATTATGCCTGGTAAATCTGTAGAGGAGTCTACATTTAAACTGTGTATCTGTAATAGCACAGGTGTCTAATCCCAGCTGCTGGATCTGTATGAGCGGTGTAGTTCAAGCCCATAGCTGCTTTCTCCCTTCACTTAAAGCAGTTAAAGCTCTTTTAGATGAAATGTCTAAGACATCTCATAATAACTTGGAGCATGCTGTCTAGAGCAGTCACTTGTAACTGTCGGCAATCCCCCCGCCCCCCTCAGCCTGTCGATATTGTAATGAGCAAAATGGTACCGTCACTCCATTATGCATACAAGCCATTGGCTGGCAGTGTGCATGTCCCTCAGGCTGCAGCATTCATTAAGGAAAGCTTACCGGGCTGAAAGCTGGAGACAGATGATAACGGGATATGATTTTCATATTTAATACATTCCTTGGAAGAGCACACGCGTGCCGCAGATTGATAGAAGAATCAATTGCTACTTTAGTGAAACACTTTCTACTTTGCCCTGCAGCTACCGATGGAATCACTCAGCCAAGAAATTAACTTTTCCTCTTTTTTTACCTACTTTGTGGATCTGCTGGGCAGGCTGCATGGTTTACAGTGAATGTTATTAAGCAGCTAACTGTTTGGTATTTAAGACGCTTATCAGAAAAGAAACAGAAGCCATGCTTTTTGTTGTTATGCTTGGAGGGAGGCTTTTTTTTTGTTGTTGCTTTTGGCATTTCTCTCTCCATGCCCTTGGTGACATTGCAGACATGAATCAAAACTTGTCTAAAGGATTTTTTTTTGTGAGATTAAAAGTTAAACTGCTAGTCCTGACGCATTCCTATGAAATATGTTTTTTATTGAAATAAAAAAGAATTTCCTAAATTAAATTCAAAATCAAGAATATTTAGGTTAGTTGTGTTAAATGTATTTTAAAGGGACATTATGGAAGTTTGACAGCCAAAACATGTATAGAAATAATAAATGTCTTCTTCATACATTCTCCTGCAATGCCCTGGTCCTGTAGAATGAGCCCTGGCATTTTTACTGTGATTGCCTGTTTTTCTGTAAAATCACAGAAAAAGAGAGATGCTCGGGTCGAGCAGGCTGCTTCATGCGCGTTCACGCTCAGGCATGGCCCGTAGCATTTGCTATCCGTAGCTTTAGCAGCAGAGAGAGAGGTAGTGCTGCTTTGTCGCTGTTCCTAACGCCTAGTGACAAAGCTAGCTACATTTCTGAGGACCCTTAGCTACTTTCTGTAGAACTTTCTTCTAGATATTTCCTGCAAATTAGCAACAAAATAGCCATTTTCGCTCCGAACTGTTCTTCGATTGATGTTGTTTCAGCTGTCATCAAGGATATAAATGTTACAGATACAAAGGACGTTACTGGCGCTTTAGCTCACCTAGTAAGATGTCGGACGTTCGTGCAGAAGACCTGGGTTTGATTCTGGGTGTGAACATAGTTTATTTGGAGTTTCTTTTTTTACATTAATGGTATATTTTTTTACAGTAAGATGCCCAAATTTTTATTTGAGACTCGCCGAACGGCATTGAATTCACAGATAAAAAAGATGTGGGTTCAACTTTCATTTTGGAACAATTTTTCAAGCAAGGGAAGGGAATGATCTGAGCATGCAGGAGGACTGACCCATCATAAACCTTTGTCGGCTGTGCTGAAGAGAAAGGTACAGAACCAAATTATTTAATTAATTAGCTGCGCGTTCTCCTGTCCTCTGTCCTCCAGGCCACACACACACACACACACACACACACACACACACACACACACACACACACACACACACACACACACACACACACACACACACACACACACACACACACACACACACACAAGGGACTGTCTCAGCTGTTATTTTCATTAAGGAGTGTGCACGTACAGCATGCGCGCCTCGTGCACGAGCCTACTATTGAAGCAGCCGTTACGCTTTTGGCCTGAGGGGGCGATCACGAGCATAAAAATTCAAAACTCTGTAAAGCCCCTTTAAACAGCAAGTTAACAATTTCTACTTGTTCCTTTTGAAAAACGATCAGCCAGTCTGAGTTTCACATGCAGACTACTTATGAAAATAGTCTTCTACTCCTATTTCCTACATTAGCTGCTAATAGAAAATAGCTGAAGAAACACTCGGGTCAGAAAAAGCCACACAGATCTACGTAACGCTAACATTTACTTTCATGTACTCGCCCATCTTGGCTCGCAACAGGGAAGGCTGTTGTTGTTCTAGCATCCAGGAGAGAGCAGCGCACGTCGCAGCTAGTGGAAGCTAGCCGTTAGCATTAGCAACTCCACAACGTCTCAGAACTCCGTCAAGCGTTTGTTATTTGTGGAGATAAAACGTCAACATTGCAGAGCAAACGGAGACAGTGGAAGTCATGTTTCTGTTAGCCAATCAGATGCACGATGTCCCAATATCACGAATAATAATGCGCAAGACTCAAAATCCTGCCGTTTTCTCTAACCCTTACACTCCAGCTAACGTCTACGTCTCAAAACAGGGGCACCAGAGCCAGATCTACTCAGAAGGCATTCATTTATACAAGAGATGTCAGCAAATGTACTGAAAAAACGAGTGAACGAGAGCTTTGAAGGAATACCTTTTTAACTTGTAAAATATAAATAAAGCATTAAGATATTTTAAGGTGCAGAACGAATGACATTTCTCTGTCCGTGCAGGTTGAATCTGTGCATGAACGGCAACAGAGCCACAGCTTTCACTCAAAGAAGAGTTTTAAACAATCATCAGGAGGAATTTTCACCGGCCAGCAGACCTCCCCGGGGCCTGACACTGAAGCCGGCACTACGAGAGTACACTCACACCAGGCGTTGCATCGTTCACCCAATCACAGCGTGCACTCCCGCGAACATCTACCAAGTGGCCTTTTGAAGAACTTCAGAGTTGTCGGAGAGGATGCCAGTAAGCCAGCGCATTTATCAGATGACATTTCAGGCTCAAACGATTCCCCCGACGGCGGTAATTTGAGTGACAAACATGAAAGAACGTCGGGGCTGCTTCCATCTGTTCGCGCCTTAACAGGCACAGCTGGCAGCGTGGCTTTCGGAAGTGAAGATGAACGAGAAGCTTCACCCCCGGTGACCTTGACGGGGTCTGAGAGGAATCCATCTCCCGGCAACAGTAACCCTACGAGGGCTGAGAATTCCCCTGCAGAACACGCCGACTCCCGAGAGGTCGCTCAGGAGCCGCTCATAATGGCAGATGAAGAGAGAGGTCTTGGCCATTTGATGCCTGAAACCACTTTTGGAAAAGAAGCTCAAGAGACACCAGGTATGCAGGGATATTTCCTCCCCACTACCTTGTTGTATCTTTTCTTTGCCTCCACAGAAATCCACAGTTAATAGCACTTTCTTTTGCCCTTTGAAGATGAATAAAAAAAACAAGTGATACGATGTGGTTTGTTTACATTCAGATAAATGTGAGAGTGTCGGCGATCCAAGCTCGGATGTGCAGTTGTCAGAGAGCAGCGCCAGTGACCTGACAATTTCTCTGACACAATCTGAGCTGGAGGAGGATTTATCAGAGGATGTAGCGCCCGAGAGAAATGCCTCTTACAGAGAAAGTGATGTTCGCCGTCCTGAATCATCCCTCCACTCCAGCGCGTCTAAGAACACATTCCAGTTACGCAGCGGATCCTCAGCACCAGCTGTGACCTTCAAACGGTACAGTACGCATAACTTAAGACCTCCATTTCCCAGATTTTTAAACACTTGGACTTCACGCCACACATTGTCTTCTAAATCTAACCTAAGAAAGCAAACATTCTTCCCTCAGAGCCACTAAAACCGCTGCAGCACTCTTTAGAAACATTACTTCTGATGGAGTCACAGTCCCTGTCACGTGTTGTCTGTAGCTCCGCATTAGCGGTGATGCTAGTGGCAGTGATGTATCTAGCAGGGAGAGCTCAGGACCTGTCTGCAGTATTGCTGTAATCCAAGATAATGCTGTAACAGAGCAATTTTCTGCTTGAGAGACCTCAGGAAGTCCCCAGTGGAGGAGGAAATTGTGGCACCTTAGAGTGATCTGGAGGGTGGGCATGTGGACACCACTCACAGCCACAAATCCTTAGCATGATGATGGCTTCTGAGTTGAAGCATCACTTTGGATGGAGTCAGGGCCACAGAAAACCCCACGTGGATGTTTGTCTGCTTTTGCCTAAGCATCGTAGTTTGTTCTTTTTCATTTTGTTTGCATTTTCTGACCGTGTTTGTTTAATTCTGTTATGTTATGAATTATCCTGATTACTCTGGTTTTATCTGAGTGTATTTGCAAATATAAAGAACCTCTCTGAGCGTTTTCCAACACAGAATCAGCTTCAGCCTTTATGCGTTTCAAGGATTATATTTTCTCCCCGAGAGTGCGGCGTGTTTGAGCTTTGCAGCGTTTATGTGTGGTCTGCTACTTTTTTATGGTCTGACCCTAAGAGGAGCTGCTGTTAGCCTGTGTCGGAGAGACGATGGTGGGGGCTGCAGCTTTTTATTGTTAACACAGAGAGCCCCTGTGTGTGAGGAGAAAACCAGAGGCTTTGATGTAAAGCTCCGAGCGCATCCAGTCTCCATCCTCTCCCATAAGGTTAGAGTTTACATCACTCCCTTCCATTCAGGACCAGGCCCATTATTATTCCTACTCCAGCACGGCCACAGAGCGCAAGACTGAAAAATTGTCTGGGTTTCCTCTCAGAGGTGATTCATAATGGCTGTCCTGATCCACAGACTTTTTTCCTGACTTTAAATTGTTGTTATTTTTTGGGTCAACATAATGTCAGACAGTTAAGCAGGGTGTTTTCAGACACTGTAGCAACAATAAAAATACATAATAAAGAATAATGTCATTGCAAACTCATTTGGACACTGTATTTCCTGTAGCTTGACCGATGTGGTTTTTTTATTGCCGATACCCGTACTGATATGTGCTGCCGGTTTTATGGCCGTTATCTAGACATTTTTGTATGCTTAACCCCGGGTTTCCACAGGAGCCGTCAGCAGCACGTTACTGCAGAAGCACGTCTTGCTCGTTTAAGCTGCTGCTTGGCCCTTCCCACGAGACGCGAAGCAGCAGGGGAGCAGCTGTCACCGACCGAGCACGAAGTCACTCGTCAGTAAACACAACAACAAGCAGGAGAAAACTACAACATGGCTCCAAAATGTTTGTGTTTTATGTTCTGTCCATTTTATAATCGCCATTACGGACCTGAAAAACAAAGGAGACCGCTAGCTAGGTGATAACTTCTCACGGGGCCGCACAGTTAGTAACTTTTTTTTAAAGTATAGCAACCGGAAGGCAGTACATTCTTTATTCTGAAAATCTCGGGAGCTTCTCTCCATTTCCGCGTCCGATTTCCTGTCTTTCCGTCCCCAAAAATGTCGAACTTGACCCGTTTCAGAGGCGTCGCGCGTAGAAAATAGAACCGGCGCGTAAAGGCCGCGACATGCTGCTCCTGAGACGCGGCCGACTCGTGCTGCCGACGGCTCCGGTGGAAAAGGTTCTGTTGACCACAGCGGTTCCTATCAGCAGCTATGATGTGCTGCTGCAGTAACGTGCTGCTGACGGCTCCCGTGGAAAGCCGGGGTAAGTGTGACACTAGTAACAGCAGCAGGTCCACGAGATTTCTGAACCTGAATCAGTTTTTAAACGCTACGTTTAACCTGTCTTCATTTTGTGTACTGCTCAGTGTTAAAATTAAACATTTAACCAAGGTTAATCAGACAAATCAATAAACTGGATAAGCAGTAAATATAAAACAGGTCAATAAAAAGAAAAGTCATTAATGATTTGGAGCATTTATTAAGCAGATGTTATTCAGGAACCTCAATATACCATAAAGAAACAAAGTGTAGTTTTTACTGTTAACTCATTCGCTGCCAGCGTTTCTCACCGTTTTTACTGTTTCTTTGAGAGTCACAGAACGTTGCGTGCTAGGATGATGTCGACGCCAAAACAACCAAAACAAAGAGGAGACTCACCTCTAACGTCAGGAAGAGTCCGCGCGTTTCGAGCGTTACCCGTTCTTTCATAATCCGTTGTCGAATTGTGATCGGCAGAAGCTTTTCCGGTTTGCGACTCACTTTTTTTTTTTACAGCAGCGGCCCAAAACGATCTCCTAACACACGGATTTTCTGCTTCCTGATCACGTGATGTGTGACGTACGCGGATGAAGATTGGCTTTAGAGCTGAGATGTTTGTTCTCACGGTGCGGGGGCTCGTTCCGACGCCCACACAGTAAAAAAAAATGCAAATGACGACTTTAGTCGTTATTGGCAGTGAATGAGTTCATCTCTGGAAATATCCATGAAATGTTGTTGAAAATGAATTCAATGATGCCCAGTTGCTGAAACATTATGGCGGCTTCGTAACATGATACAACCATAAAAATCAGGTCTAAACATTATGGGAGCAAGGCTAGGGCTGTGTCCAAATTCAGGGGTTGTGTGCTCATGAGGTCGGATTTTAAGGCCAGTGACATCACAGCGCCACGGCGAAGACTGTCCAAATTTAAAGAGTGCCCAGATTGCGGTCTTGAAATCCGTTCTTCTTTTCCTCGATTTTGAGAACAGGTGCGGTGTCGTGTCCTCACCTCTATAAATCCCGCGGGATATCACACAGATGGACGTAAAGTACAGCAGCGTTTTCATGATTTTCTGTACCCCAAATTACTCACGTCATGAAGCTAGTTTAAGTTGACATGAAGTTGGTAAGAGCTTTCAGACATAAAAAAGGTAAATAATACTATACCAGCGTATCGTTGCCTCAGCCTGACAGACAAAATGTGCCGGCGGTACATCTGCTGCAGATCTTCAAACTGTAACAAAACAAGGAAAAAGTTTAAAACTTGTGTGAAAGGGAAGTATGGGCCTCTCAAATTAGGCCACTGCCCCCGCGACCCGACTCTGGATAAGCGGATGAAAATGGATGGATGGATGGATGGATGGATGGATGGATGGATGATGGATGGATGGATGGATGGACCTGTGCGAGCTCCATTTCTGCAGCTTCTTAGTGCGGTAGCAGTTGCTAGGTGACAGAAGGACATCTGCCAAGGTAGGGGCAGGACAATTATTGATTATTATTATTAATTATTAACTATTGTTAAGGCTAGACTGTCCACATGCACAGCTGATAACGTCCTGTCTAGCCAACACGGAAGATCAGGTTCTCCTGAGACCAATGAGGACGGGTACTCATGGGCATGCAACCCCTGAATTTGGACACAGCCGTTGTCTCTGGGTGACGCCATATTAGATGCCGTGTTTCCTTCTACGGGAGCCTGTGAGGACAAAACACATTTACCGATTTGTAACAAACGGTAACAAAACTTTTGCCATTCATAAACGTTGTTTTACACTTTACCTCTTTGGTCATTGCCAGTGATGAAAGGGAGTCTGATGTGCTTGTCATATTCCTGTAGGTTCTGCTCCCAGGCAGTTGTGGCCCTAATGGCTATCCGTTGGTAAGGTCTTACTCTAACACAAAAATACTGCTTGCTTGCGGTGATTTAGGTATGCACTGTCTCCTATCGCCAGAGAAAACACACACCGTCACTTTAGTATGACATTCTGCAGCACCTGGCTGCCTGCCGATGTGAGCGACTTGAAATCAGCTCTACTAAAATGGTATGTTGGTCGATGCTGAACTATTACAAAGTGGTAAATATTGGCCCGATTTATCAGCCAAATATATTGGTGTATTTCTAATTTCTTGCTAACGTTTTGTCTCATGAATTTATCCTAAAACATTTTCCACATTTAATGCTTGGACCATTGGAGATGCCGTGTTGGTGTTAGTTGTGGTTCCATTATTAAGCCTATTTTTATCCTCCCGGCACCAGTCGGTGAATTTTCAGGCTGTTCTGTGTGCTAAATCGCCTCAGAGTCAGCACTGTATGTATTAAAGCGATAATACCTCTGACCTCTTCCACCGGGGCTAACGACACACTCCTGATGACGTTGACCTGTGGCCAATGGCAGCATCTAAGGCAAGGTTAGAGACCTTGACCCGAAAGCTGGCAACAATTAAACTGGAGATGTTTGCAGGAAAAACACAGTTCATTCACTTTCTCATTAAATATCTAAATATCTAGTTTTTCTGAAGAATGATTAATTAAAAGGGGAAACAAAAGAAAGACTTTGAGGTCTGCGTTGGCGATAAGAAAGAGAAAAGCAAAGAAAAGGCGCAGGTTTTGCCTATTCTCCTTCAGGCTCTCTGAAGTGGACTTGGCACAGATGGATTGCGCACTACAAAATGTCATGGATACAATTCAAGCTGCCAGCTTAATCAGGATGTTACCAGGAAACAACCTGCAAAAGAAAAGGGGGGCGATTGTTTGCTGACCCCTGACCCCAGAGCGTATTACAGATTGTCATAAATTCTTTTTGGCCTCTCTTTATGGACGGCGGCTCAGAATCTCTCTGCTTGGGGTTTCTGGGAGAATTCAATGAGGGCCACCCAGAGCTTAATGCTGAAGAAAGAGATGGATTCTCAATATCCACATGCATTAGGCATCCATTTCTCATTTTGTTGCCTCACACAAGAACCAGATTAAAGTATAAATCTCTCACCAAAAGAATGCATCCAGAGCCCCGCCCCCTCCTTTTTCATTTTTACCTTTCATTTCGATTTCATTCCTGTAATGCTTCATTTACATGATAACTAATTTCACAATTGAACTGAATTAAGTCATTTTTTTACTTCAGTGGTAACAGATAACGCTACAGGTTTCTGCTGCGAGTGCCAGGTGTCAAAGCTTTCACGTGCACCCTGCTATTACACGTGGCGCTGTCAACAGACACGGTGAAGTGTTGAAATCCCGCTTTGTGGCCGTCGCTTTTTGACGGCCATATTCTCAAGAAGTCCTTGAGTACCTCAAGGAAATTGCCCGGAAAAATGCATCACCTTTTTTCTTTCCGGATATAGCAAATCTATCGATCACATGACCTTTTTCTCTCCTCCTTTCAATGTTTTTTAGCCTCTCCATGGAAGGACTCTTTAATCTGCTAGAAAGCATCGAAGGGCGACTCCACGATGAACAGACCCTCGTGTACGGGGATTCTCCGGCTGATAGAGGACAATTCGGTAGAATTATCAGGTACATCCGTTCCTTTCTGCAAACTTTACAATCTTATCTCCCTCCTCCCATCTAAATGAAGTCCCATGTAAATTTATTTAATGGTCGTGGAGCAGTTTGTGCGGATGAGAAAAACATATTATCCTTCTGCTGAGGGCTCTCACATTAGATGAAGTGTCATCACCATCAGGCGCGCGTCTTTATTTCTGAGGGGTTTTCAAACACATGTGATTGTTATAGAAACCACCCAGCTGAATTGTTACTGGGGAGTCGAAGAGACGGAGGCCCGGGGATGTGTTTCATTAGATTAGGCGTGGTTTTTAGAAGCTTTGTCAACATGACTCGGTTACCATAATTGGCGCTCTTGTGGGGAAAAAAAAGCAAAACAATAAAAAGAAAACTTCCTGTTTTTATGCGTCTTCACCAATTTTGTATGATCATATTTACAGGTGACGCTGTAAAAATGGTGCAAAAGTTCTTTTATGTCAGTAATAATTCTACCTAAATGGTTAAACTAATATGACAGGGCTTCCGCGGGTCCTTAAAAAGTCTTAAATTAGCTTTTCTAAATTTAAGGTCTTAAAAATCCTTAAAAATGACAAATAGTCTTTAAATACAGCTTTCAAAGGTCTTAAATTACCAAAGACCCAATAAACAAGATTCTTTTATTTCCATAAAATTTTCCTGAATTTTTAGTTGGTGTTCAGCATTTTTTGGCGTAAGCGGAACCGTTCACATTCAGTTGGTTGTGAAAGGGGGCTATTTTTAGATGAGCACATTAGCTGGTTAAGCTAGTGGGAGCTTGCGCCATGGGGAAGTGCAAGTTTAATGGTAACTGGATGGCTAATCCTACGTTTGCAATGTGGTTAGCACCGGTCCTAGGCAATAGCTGGAAATTATAGCTTAAATTTAATTTTAAAAATAGCTTAAATTTGGTCTAAGTGGCCTTAAAAAAGGTCTTAAAAACTCTTAAATTTGGCTCTCTTAAACCTGCAGATACCCTGTATGAGATAAACTCGTGCCATGCAAATTCAGATGTTTCAAATCTTTATTGTTTTAATTGTGATGATTATGATTTACGTTGTTAAAAGGTTCAATATTATTGGCTCAAAGTTTCACACTAGTTAGCGAATGAATCCAAACACCTGTAAAGGGTTCCTGAGCCTTTAGATGGTCTCTCAGTCCGAGCTCCTTTCTGAAATAAACAGACTTTTGCTTAGTTTACTTGCATGGGTGTATTTTATTTATCACTGGTAGCTCTGACTTGGGACTTAGCTAAAGGCGCCATAGCAATCGCTGTCTGCTCTGTATGTATCGGGCAGGCTTTGTGACGATGCAGCAGGCTTGAACGATGAGGAACTGGAAGCTTGTGGAGCAGTCGTCCTTCACGAGCTTCAGAGGTTGTCATGGAGCACAGAAACGGGCTGTCTGCTACCACAGGAAGTCGTGAGAGCGCATCAGTCCAGCTCTGAGCCTAATGAAATCAGGTAAGGCTCGTGGTTTCTATGTGAGCCCAAAGCCAGGAACAGGCATCGCCGTTTGGAATTTTCCTTTTTTTTTGTCTCTAGTTGTTTATTTGTATTTTTTTTTCCAGTTGAACAAACTGCTTGAGTCATTCATTTATTTCAAACTAAAAGTTAAAGAATATTTCACTAAAATGCTAGGATGTTTTGAGTGTGTAGACGTTGCTGCTTCCAGGGTAATTCGGGCCAAAAAAAACATCGACTAAATTCATAGAAATGATTTACAGGAAAAATTCTCAGACAAAATGCTGATATGTGTGATCTCTTGTTTTTATTTTTTGTTTATTTTGTCTTTACCAGACCCTGAGGAGGGTCAGTTATTGAGATATTGCATGCTTGATGTTTGATCGGTCTTCCTTGTCCACGAATGCAAAAGGTCATCTTCGGTGTCACCTCCCGCGGTAGCGCTGCATGGGTGAATGTCATGAGTAAATTAAAATGCCCCTATCTGAGGCTTCCAGTCCTTTTGGATAATGAGTAGTTACACTCTGAGCCGAATCTGTGTTCTGCTTCACTTCTCTATTGATTTCACCGAGACCTTTTCCTTTTGTGGACTCGATTCTAAGAGACACATCTGGCTGCGCCGCTCTCTGGAGATGCCAGCGGGCTGACCTCCACTTTTTATCCAGTTTTTCAGCTTGAAACCATATTCCTTCTGTGTCTGCTCAGTTCTGTCTGGAAATGAATCGATATTCCATAGCTCCGACGCTGTTTAATGATGGTAAAGAAAGCAGCTTTACGAGATCCACCTTAAAAATAACAGTCAGACAAATATAATACGTGTTGCTTCAAACGTCTTTGAATTAATCCTGATGTTTAAACCTTTTATTCATCCAATAAAGCATTTTTTTTACTCCTCGTGTTTCTCTTCCCCCATCCCCCGCCGCAGCTCCAGCCTTCCTCCTAAAGCCGCTCGGCTGTGGGATCGCTGGTTCAAGCACGCCCTTGTGCTCAAGGAGCGCCGTGTCCTCAGCACTGAGCGCTTGGTCCAACTGTTCACGCCGCTCCTGCTGAAGCGTGATGCCGCCTACAGCCAGCAGGTAGCGTCAAAGGCACACACACTTCCCCAACACACACACACACACACCCAAATAAAGGTCACATGTCCACTTATGTTTGAAGTCAGATTTGTTTGTTTCCTTTTGCTTTTAGATATCTGGACGCCGTTTGGCTCCACACTCATCTGCTCCACACATTAACCTAAAGCCACTCACCCTCAGCTTGGCTTTTTCCATCTCATCTCATCGAGCTCTAAAAATATTCAGATTTAACCAGATTTCTCTACTTAAACCTCCCCTGCACTGGTTTTTGTTCAAAACGTTCCACATATTGACCTTGTGCAGATGAACAAGACCCGGGAAAGAAACGTCCTGCATGATAGAAGAGATTTTTTTTATGTTTCCTGTCCAACTGTGGAGCAATTCATGTCATGCATTTACACAGACCCGTATTACTGTGGTTCTCGTGGCTTAGATATCTTGCTGCAGTGTCCCCGACGCAACGAGAGGCAAAGAGGTAGACTGTAGAGCCTCTTGAAAGTATGAACTGACAAAAGGAAGAGGGCTACCTCCATCTACATCATTGTGTCCAAGTGCATCAGGAGAAGCCCGAGTGAAATCTTTCTCTTCCTTTATCGCTCTGCGTTTCTCTCCATCTATCTCTCTCTCTTGTCCTCCATCTCTCCCTGCATGTCTCTCTCTGTCCTCTCGTACAACGACTTACTCTCTCCACACACCCGCGTAAACAGACATTTCCATTCACGTCCTGCCACGCAGCCCAGCTACTCCAACAAATGGGAGCATGCAGCTCGCATGCACACACTCAAAGGGGCCCTTTGAATATTCAAGTGCTAACAGTTGCATTCATTGATATTTAAAATGCAGTGGATCTGCGAGAGCCCTCAGCTCACGGTACATTTGACTAAATCTAAAAAAAAAAGAACAAAGAGGGATTTTAGGGACAAGGATCAAGACAATTTTTATTGTTCAGCAGCAATCAAATCCCGAGTGGCAAACTCAGATTTGCGTGTTTGCTTCTTCTCTCCTCTCAGAAAATGAAAGTCGTATCAATTTTCTTTTTTTATTTCGTTTTCCTGTGACCAGCTGATAACACCTCACAATGTACTTTAAGTTTGCCGCTGTCAAAGTCCTCCTGATTGTCCCCTTCACATTAGTGTTCATTAAAAGTCCTAAATGGCCTTCCGAGGCTGAGAGGCAGGCTTTGATCACAAAAGAGATGATGATGATGGCAGGATTTGATATGATGGAAGGAAAAAAGGAATCTGTGTGTGGCATCTCAGACACAGCTTTCTTAATTGTGGATCCTCATCTCCACGGAGATAAAAATGAGCTGGAGTGGGAGGAAGGAGAGCGGTTTTCCTCAAATCCTCACAGCCAAGAGGAAAGATATCTGAAACGTGTTGCACATTAACGGCAGGGTGATTGCATTCTTTAGAGAATTCTCTAATCTCATGGATGAGAGGAGAGGGGTGTGTGTGTGTGTGTGTGTGTGTGTGTGTGTGTGTGTGTGTGTGTGTGTGTGTGTGTGTGTGTGTGTGTGTGTGTGTGTGTGTGTGTGTGTGTGTGTGTGTGTGTGTGTGTGTGTGTGTGTGTGTGTGTGTGTGTGTGTGTGTGTGTGTGTGTGTGTGAGACGGGGGAAGAACAGGAACAAAAGAGTGTGAAGTTATTATGACTTTTTGTTTAACGAGTGAGAGAATTTGAAGTTATTGGCTCTCGGTGTTTGAACACGCATTACGGCCGCACCTCTGGGTGAGCAGCCGTGGCCAAAGTTCAATTTAACGCTTCCTTCACAAAATGAGAACAATTAAGAGTGTGGTTTTAATTTGTGCTGCACGCAGGCCAAAGTGTTGCTGAGGACACTTCTCTCGCGGTCCAGTGAGGAGTGCCCCTCGGCAGAAGACGAGAGCGACTTATCTTCTGTGCGGGGTCCTTCTTCTTCTCCCATGGCTGACACAAATGTGAAACCCTCCCAGTCAGAACACAAGCAATGTGCCAAAGGTAACTGGAAACGATTAGTTATCCATGCATGTGGAAAAATAATAAAAGCATGCATAATTTCACTTTTTGCAGACAGAATGTCCCTTAAAGGGAGGATGGGAGTTCCTGCAAAAGCTCTTCGAGCAAACTACATTTTTAAAAAACAACCCGAAGCTCCAACCCCTTTTATTCATGCCTACAGAATGCAGGAGAATTCAACAGATCCCGTCAAACAAACATAAAAACAAGTCCGATATTGGCCTACCATTACTAACACAAAAAACACATTTTCTGCTATTTAAATATTAGAGATGTCTGACATTATTGGATGATTTTGGCATTAAAACATAACATCAAAAACGACATACGTACTAAACTTTTTACTCTTGACGCTACAACGCACATACTGTATTTACATCAAACTCTGCAGCTACTTCGACTCCCACACAAAATGTCTAAATATGACAGATTTGAGGTTTCGTTTTGGAGATGTTTTTGCTTGGTTGGCACAATTGTCTTAACTTCAATCGAGGTAGTTTTCATATTTTGCACAGATAGTGTTTAAAGTTTATATATGCATGTAAGGAGATATGTGATGTTATTCACCTAATTGTTTTTTTTAATGAGGGTGACCTCACATATGCTAATTTTGGCCTGGTTTTATATCAGTGTCAGAACTCCAGTAGGCTCCATTTGAATCCCTTTGGGTTACCATGACCTGGATGACTGAGAGCCTTCATCAGCATGATTATCTATCCTTTTGGAATCATTGTTAACACCCTTTCCACCATAATTCCTAATGAAGTGCACCAATGTAACCATATAACAATTTAGTATGCTAGCTAGCTAGCCCAGCTCTGGCTTTGCTTCCTATTCAGCTGCACTAAACCGAGAATGCATAATTTATTCACAAAGAAGGGTATGAGCAGCGGGGCAGAGGGTTGGTCAGAGGGCAGGTATGAGCAGTGGAGCAGAGGGTTGGTCAGAGGGCAGGTATGAGCAGCGGAGCAGAGGGTTGGTCAGAGGGCAGTTGGATGGATGGATTAGATCCAATCATTAATAACAGGATGTTCACAATGATTGGATGAGGTTATATTGCATTTAAGATGTGATTAAAATTATTCAGCACTTCCAACAAAATGGCAGAAACACATCTCCGACTACACCTTTAAAGTGATGGTGTGTATTCTTCCTGGCGATAGGGGGCAGTACATACCTGAATCATTGCCATCGTCGTCGTCTTCCTCCACTTATCCGGGTCCGGGTCGCGGGGGCAGCATCCCAACTAGGGAGCTCCAGACCGTCCTCTCCCTGGCCACCTCCACCAGCTCCTCCGGCAGGACCCCAAGGCGTTCCCGGACCAGATTGGAGATGTAACCTCTCCAACGTGTCCTGGGTCGACCCGGGGGCCTCCTGCCGGCAGGACATGCCCGAAACACCTCCCCAGGGAGGCGTCCAGGAGGCATCCTGACCAGATGCCCAAACCACCTCAACTGACTCCTTTCGATCCGGAGGAGCAGCGGTTCTACTCCGAGTCCCTCCTGAATGTCCGAGCTCCTCACCTTATCTCTAAGGATGAGCCCGGCCACCCTACGGAGGAAAGTCATTTCGGCCGCTTGTATCCGCGATCTCGTTCTTTCGGTCATTACCCAAAGCTCATGACCATAGGTGAGGATTGGGACGTAGATCGACCGGTAAATCGAGAGCTGAATCATTGCAAGCAAGCAATATTTTTGCATTTGAGTAAGACCTTACAAACGGATAGCCATTAGGGTCAGAAATCCCTGTGAGCGCAACCTCCAACAAAATGACAAACACATCAGTCTTCCTTTAATCACTGGCAACGAGTGACGAGGTAAATGTGTAAAACAACGTTTATGAATGGTGAAAGTTTTGTAACCACTTGTTACAAATCAGCAAATGCATTTTGTCCTTACAGGCTCCCGTAGAAGTAAACATGGCATCTAATATGACATCACTTGAGCCCCCTTCAGACAGGCCATGAAAAACGGAAATGTTCCGGAGTCTGTCCGTAAGACCTTTGTGTCTGAATACAAACATCCGGATAACGTTTTCCGTAGTTAAACCGGACGACGCCCCTAGTAACAGGTCCGGACTTGTCACGGACAGGGTGGCTGCTTCAGACTGGTGAGGTCGAGTTCCGGACAGGGAGGAGGGGGAGGAGGAGGGGACCGGGGGACACTGTGCGCACCTAGATATCCCGCTCCTGTAGCATGCGGCGAACCACGGCAGCTCGCCTCCTACGGTACCACCTAGACGCGCGTCGGAGCGCTTCACACCGCTTCAGTGATTCCTTTAACCATTGAGCTTCATCATCCAGGTCTCTTATGCGTCTTCGTGTGCGCAGAATTATGCTTAAGCGCCTCGTGATTTTTATCTTGAGAGGCGCTATAGAAATGATATTTTCTTCTTCTTAACATGAGTCCGATTCTACCCCCACCACCCCCCCTGCCGCCGTCAGACATCTGGAACTTTTCCCTGCTGTGTGAACGCAGCCGAAAGGACAAGTTCCGGTACAAGTGGTGTGTCTGAAAACACAGTTCCGGTTAAAAACCGGATTGAATTGTCCGCAAATGTTCCAGAATGTCTATCTGAAAAGGGCTGTAGAGACTTAGACCCGCTCCCATGCATTTTAGACCTGAGTTTTTTGGTTATATGTTACTGAGCCGCCAATATTTTTCAGCAACTGGGCATCATTTCATTCATGTTCAACATTTCACTAGATATTTCCAGAGAATAATGGTAAAACTACACATTGTCTCTTTAATAAATGAAAATAATTTCAGCACACTTTGTTATGATCACTTATAGCCTAGCTTTCATGCAGCCTTCCATTGAGACCTAAAAAGGGACCCCCCCCCCCCTTTATTCATTTCTGCCCAAGACTCCCTTCCTCCCTACCGTTGATTCTCACTATGTGCTTCCCTTTCTAACAGAACTACAAAGCTCTGAAGAGGACAGCCAGGACGAAAGCCCTGTGGAAAGTGGTCCTATTAGAGGTAAAAAGGCATTACTGGTGCCTCAACATTCACACTGTCCTTATGTTGCGGTTTGTTTTTCTTCCCACTGCAGTGAATAATGGGCTCTTTTACACAATGGCTGAGGCAGGATGATCAAGGTGAATCCAGGGTCAAAGTCCCACCTGAAGAACTGCACTAGTTCTCTCTAATTATCTCCGAGAAAGCACTAGCCGCGCTTCCAGCCTGGTCTGAGGCATTCTAGCAGGACTCATAATTCGCTGGTCCAGCATAATGAGTCTGCTTTAATTGTCAGGGCGCCGGGGTGGGCAGCGCCGAAGATCTGTCATCGGCTCTCATTATCTTCTAAACAATGCTCCGGCATGGCTCAGACTTGAGAAATACTAGATGTGACGGCATCCTGGAAGCAGCTGGTGCGCCCGTCCCTTAGCTGCACCTCTGAAATGTAAAGCAATCCTGTGTTACCCTCGGTTTGTCAGATTTCCAACTGAGTTTTTCATGTGTCCGCGTCCCCTAAGGTGCACAGCCAGCCAAAGGAGTCCAGTTTCCAATCGCTGCACTTAATCAAAAGAGCTATAACTTGCTAAAAACATGACTAAAGGTTTTGCAAGGGAAAGGTTTGCTGTGCTGAGCGGCGTCAGTGTCACAGTCAGATACCTTGACCTTGGAACTGATAGTAATTGCCGAGACATGCGCGCCTGTCAACTTAGAGGATATTTGAAGAGAATGTGTAAAAACAGTGGCTGCATAAAAGATGCTTGGGTGAAACAGAAACCATTGTTGTGCCCAGCAAACACTGTGTGCTTTTGAGAAAGTGATTCCAAACCATTTATTCATTTAGAAACTATGTGAAACTGTGTTTGATCAGAAAGAATCTGATTTATTTCTCTCGTAAATATGCGTGGGTCTTTATGTAATTCTGTTTATTTTTTTCCTAGGGATGTAAGAAAATATTGATGCTCTAAAATATTGCGGTATACCTTGTTATGCTGAATCAGTATTAAAAGTAGCTTGTCGATTTTTTATTCTAGAACTTACATGCAAACATTTACTGTATTTCTTTTGTGTGGTGCAACACTCCGACCACTAGATGGCAGCAGTTTTTATCGTTCTGACGGAACCGCGATAACAATGATGTGTCTTTGAATCGTTGGCCTGGTTTTTCCATTGAAGTTCACTCTTAATGATGGCAAATACGGTCTGTGTTCTGTACTGTGATATTTATTGTATTGCTGTATTCTTGCCAATATACACTCCTATTTTCGAAAATACCGACTCTTTAATGTCCTCAAATACACATTTTTTAGTGTGTGTGTGCGTGTTTTAAGGTCTTTCACCGACAAACAACAATACTTGTTCTTATTGAGAAATGATTGGTCAGGCTTAGCCGCATATGCATGCTGAACGTAAGCATTTTCTTCAACCATCATCGCCTGCATTAGCTGCAGAAAGAAAATCACTGATAATAAACAAGTGGGTCAGATAAAACCAATTCCTTATATTTGTAAGGGGTTAATTTACATCTAATTAATGGACCATAAGACATGAGATTCCATAATGAATATGGAATCAATCTTGTGGTCCTTTGGGTACTTTTAACCAGAAGATTGGAACTTTTTATTGCAGGGATTATGTAACACTTTGTATTAACTGAGAGACAAGAGAAGAGAGAGTCACCTTTAAAACATTTAAGAAGATTTATTTCTAAACAATTTTAAACAAGACTAACTCTAAATTGTAAGTGATGAATGGATCTTGGTGTGAATGAGACGTGAGATGAATGGTACCATTCATCTCAGTGATGGATACACATACACGTGTATGTGTCAGTGATGCTGTAATCAGAACTCTCGTATCCGGAGAAGCAAGTCTGAGGTGTTGTGATGTTTTAGCCTGGCAAGCCAGACTAAATAAATGTATTATTTAGTCTGGCAACGCTCCACTGACGGCTCTCGGTTGTGGGGCGGGTTCTACCGTTGTCTTTCAAATGATCTCCGCATTCCACTGGACAATGAATGTGACATACTCTTGTTTCACTCTGTTGCATCGTCCCACCCACCAGGCATATAGAGTGCCCTGATTGGCCCACAAAGCGGATAAAGCTCTGTGATTTGTTCACTAAGCAGATAGAGCACTAGGATTGGCCCACCATTATGGACCAATCACAGCTCTTTATGTGTTTAAAACCCCTCTAGAGAGCTGTGATTGGCCAGCCAGAATGCTGTTGGGGCTGCAGAGGTTCCAGTGGAGCGTTCCTAGACCAAACTTTGCAAAGCAAGAATTTGGTCTAGTTCACTAGGCTAGTGATGTTTTGCTTTTAGCTACGATCGGAGTTTCATAAACACATTAGACGCCATATTGTCGCTCTACACACACCCTTAGGATGAGACCTCCGTACAGATCCAGAATGCCAGGTACTTGAACTCCTCTTTCGGAACTGGAGCCGATAAAACGGCGTCAGCAGTACGACAGACCAGTCTTTGGATTGTCTCCAGATAAAAAGCGGCAGTTGGTTGACAGCGTCAGATGGACCCCCTTTGAGTCATTGAGTTCAGCTTTTATTCTGAAAGGAACCGTCGCTTGGTTGGTAAAAGCAACAGATTTTATCCAGCTTGTTGGTTGTTTGCTTAAAAAGGAAGTCCGAGTGGCCGGTCCGATACTCCTCTTAGCATGGGGTGGACTCCAGTGAACTGTAGAGAACTCAGAGAACTGAACTAAGATGGCGTGGGGACCGGTTTTATTAATCTGGATGTTTTGATTTCTGGTCGAATCAAAGTTGGCAGATTTATAAACACCACAGAGACTATGCCACGCTTCAGAAAGGAAGGTTCTGATTGGATGAGTAAAAGCAATGTGTCGTGCGTTTACATTACGTGTGATCAGCATGTCTAGTGCAGCTAGATTAAAGCATACTAATCATAGCATTGTCATTTCACAGATTGGTCAACATATTAGTGACTAACACTTTGTTTGATTAGCTTTATTAAAAATAGAGTTCTTTGATTTATTAAAATGAAAGAGTCCTTTGTCTTCATTCGTCCCTTGAGCTGGAAAGGAAGCAGTTTAGAAGCAAATGCATGACCTTGAGGCAGTCTCATGCAGATTAGTTCTGTGTCAGAGGCATCTGTGGAGAGAGGGTAAATAACCTTCGGTGGAATAGCACCTCCATCACGTTACATATGTCAAAGGGAGCATTTGCGTCCATGGCCTCACCCATGTTAGCCTGTGACTGCAGAAGGCTTTATGGATGTTGCAGCTAGGAGAGAGCAGAGTGCATCTCGGCTAGTAAAAGCTAACCACTAGCATTAGCTCCACAACGTGGCAAAACAAGTTCTGTGTTGCTTGTGCTCCGTCTTCTCAAACCCCCCAGTGAGTCGCGGCGGATGGCTGCTCGGGTTCTGTTGGAGGATTCTTCCTGTTAAAGGGGAGTTTAGTCCGTTTAGTCATGTTTGTTTGAGGGGATTGCTGTAAAGCCACTGACACAAGTCGATGCAGTCTAAAATGAAAAATAACACATTGATGTTGCATTCCTTTACCAAAGAAAGAAGACCAAAGGAAGGCAGTGGAAGAGTTGCTGTTAGCCAATCAGAGTTGAAACGTTTGCATAATCATGAATACTAATGAGCAAGCCTTCTATTTCTGTCGTTTTCTGCCATTCTACCCCTCTGACAAACTTCTACCCTCTTGAAACAGGAGCTTTTTTCCCCCACTGAAAACAACTCACAACGCACTCATTCATACTGAAGACACAGCAGATTTACTGAAAAAGGGAGAAAAAAACGAGTGAATGAGACCTTTAACATAAAACAATCATTACTTTCCTGAAATGAGACGCTGGGATAATGTGAGATGCTGATTTCTGTCCCTTGGAGACGGTTGCCCCATTCAGTCGACCTAAATCAACATTTCATCTGCTTTCACCCACTCTGTCGAACACAAAACCTCTGCTGCTGTTGTCTCACCAAACAGAAACCTTCGAAAGTTGGCTTTTGAGCAAATATTTGACCACAACTGTGTGTGTGTGTGTGTGTGTGTGTGTGTGTGTGTGTGTGTGTGTGTGTGTGTGTGTGTGTGTGTGTGTTCTTCTTCAGAGACTAAAGCATATCAGTTGCTCAAACAATCAGCCATGCAGGAAAGGCTGCAGAGTTCTGAGGAAGAGGAGCTGAGTGGCTTTTCAGGTAAGAGATAAAGTCTCCTCTTCCATCTAGTTCGGGAGGAGCTCGGGCCTGATGATTTCCTGGAAAGTAAAGATATTTTCGTAACTTTGCAGTCCTTTAAGTCGAAAACTGGCGTTGCGACACTCCTTGGGCTTCATCAGAGTTGTCGGTGTAAAGCCGGGCGTACACTGTGCGACTTTTTCACTCGAAGCGCTCAGCTTCAGCTCAAACTGTACGACTTCCTCGCAGGGCAGATCTCACGAGTCGTGTGCTCACACTGTACGACCCAGTTCTCGGATGCGACCTGACTGCTCACACTGTACGTCTGGTAGCAACACGTCGGCCCTAAAAATATGCTAAAAATAGCAGTTTTTACGCAACACGTCAGACTTTTTTGTCTTGTTTTGCCTGTTGTCCTTCGGGAGCGCTGCAGGAGGACACACAGGGATTTATGGGGGTTGGATGAGGAAACGAAATAAAGAAAGTAAATCTGTGTTTTGTGATCAGTTTAATTTGACATGAACACGACAAACACGCTTTCCTGACAATCTTTGTGAGTAAAAAAACGTGTAGAAATAAAAAGGAACAGCGTGTGTTATTAGGGAAATAGCGGGCGAGCAGTGTTGATGCAGGATTGCGCATGCGCCGTGAGCGGTTCTGACACTTTTTGGGTCGCAGCGCCGCTTCAACAGTGCGATACCCTCACGAGGGACGAGCGAAATATTAAACACGCCAGAAGTCCGTGCGACCTCACGACTGCTGATCAGCAGCTGGTCACGTGGTGTTAATCGCCTCTCGTAACCCCCTGTACACTACACGACCGCTCGGCGCTAAACTCGCCCCGATGTCGTGGATTCTCGCACGACTGGGAAATCGGCTCAAAAAAGTGAAAAAGTCGCACAGTGTACGCCCGGCTTAAGTCGAAAACTGGCGTTGCGACACTCCTTGGGCTTCATCAGAGTTGTCGGCTTAAATGTGCACAGTAAATGAGCTTGTGATGAGATCAATCAAGAATCAAACGGTTTTATCTGGGCTGTTTGCTCTTTTAAGGAATAAATCATGGCCATGAAGAGGACCTGGGGAGGGCCAAACGCTCCTCACATCAAGACCCTTACCCTCGGTAAGAACATTGTTATTATTCAACGGGCCACAGGAAATGGGCCACCAGACACCAAAGTGGTTGATGTACATTTGCATGGCGGCTCTCATAATTCCCTGTTCATTTCCATAAGATCAAGGGGGCACCACCCATTAACTCGCTTACAAAGACAAAAGGCCCCTAAAGGCCCTCTTACTCACTGTTAGCAGGGTTCAGCCAGGTTTTAGAATTCAAAAGCAAATCAGCTGTCGCGAAAAAATAAATTGGAGCCATAATCTGACTGTTTCCTGGCTTGTTGTCAGAATGCAAACAGATCATGTCAAGAAGAGAATCACTGACAACTGTTTCCGTAGAAGGGGACTCGAGGGCTGATCAGGACAAACGTCCTCTCGTTTGTCACCCTGGAAACATTATTTAGGCTGCACAAATCAGAGTAGCAAGTGGACGCGGAAAGAACATCTAGTGCTCGTTGGAAACGCGCACCGTCTCGCTTACACGTGAAAATCAACAGAACTTCATCAAATCTGCGACTGCCGTTCAGATCCTCGGAGCGCCTCTTCACTGCAAACCCATTTGGACGGCGGTAATGGCTGGGTAAACGTTATGAGGAATAATCTTCTCTGATTTCATGTGATTACCGGGGCGACACGCTGACACACGGGCTGAAGCCCGCGCCGCCACGGCCTGGCAAGCAGGCGCTCCAGTCTGCCTATTAGTCCAGGGAAGGGCCTAATGGCCCGGCTCTATAGTGGTCCTCGATGTCTGCCCCTGCCAGCGCCACTGACCAACGTATTTAATAAACATGAGCCAATTTTGGGCAAAAAATCCCTCTCAGGTGGTGCCCGACTCCCGGTCAGTAATGTGCATGTGAAGTCCACAAACGTGTGATTAAGTCAAATTTGCAGGAATGAGGTAGACGTAAGTAAAATTGAACAAATGGGCGGATTTTGATGCCAAACAGCTTCTTTGTCTATCCTACGTATTCCACTGATATTTCCCATTTGACTCAATGTTTAGGTTTAAGAAATGCACTCGTTTTTGTGCTTTGTTGCTACCACAAGTCATCTGGAAGCTTAGCACTTCAGCAGAGCACTTGTACCAGCCCTTACCTCCTCTCTCTCTCTCTCTCTCTCTCTCTCTCTCTCTCTCTCTCTCTCTCTCTCTCTCTCTCTCTCTCTCTCTCTCTCAGTCGTCCTTGCCCCTTCTTCATCCTTCTACCCCTCTCCCTCTCTGTCATCCTGTGTTTTCCTCTTCCTCCTCTCCTTCCCAATTGTTAATTATTTGCTTTATTTTGTCAGCGAGCTGATGAGTGACTTCAAAAGGAGGATTGAGCTGGACTCAGAAATACAAAAATGGCCCCGTCTCTGTTGTCTTAGACAATAATTATGATTTGCCTGTTAAGCCTGGACCACAGCAGAGGGATTGTAGTTTAAAGCAGAGGCTTTGGTACAAAAATGCATTTATAGCCCTTTGTGAAGCTCCTCATTATGTGTGGGCTCGATTCATTAAGTAATTGGTTTGCAGTTGTTTACATGAGTATTAAGGCCTTCTATTCAGGGCCTTTGAGAGATACATTGTGCAAATGCTGCATGTTATGAATGCAGAATGAGAGGCGGGGGGGCAGTCCTATTGGCCAAACACGGCTCCCGGCTGAAAAGCGAGAAAAAAGCGCTGGGTGCTGCTTTGCATAGTAATGACTCGGCCTTAATAAGCTTTACAGATTAAATACATGCAGTCTATACAAGATGCAAGGAGATACTCTTAACACATTTATGTGTGCTCATTTCTCTATTATGAAGTTTGAGAGATTTGGAGTCTTTTATGTGATTTTTTTCTCTCCCCCGCTCGTCTCTGCTCTCTCCCACACGGCGGTTTTCGGTTTGATACTTTTATGGATTGTTCTGTTTATTGTATTGTAACTTGCCGGGAAAGCGACTGATCTGCAACAGTTATTAGGGATTTGTCCATTATAAATCTTTTGCAGTCAAATCACTTTGTGGTTGAGTGGTGATGAAAGGAATAATGCACGACGGAGCGAGTCTTAATAAGCAGCTGCACTCCATGTAAAGACCACTTGTTCCCCCCTTTTGTATGCAAGTGCATGCCGCTGCTTCCTCTCGTGCAAAGAATCATTGTGCCTCTCGCTATTACCGGCTTTTCGGATGCCACTCCCTTCTCAAAGTACATATTTTTATTTATTTGGTTTGTTTTTTTAAACATATCTTCCTTTTCTCACCCTAAGATAATCTTGAACGCACGTGCACAGACACAGAAACGCTGCAGCCCTCTGACGGGATGATGAGTGTTGCGCCTAGAGCCTGCTTGACAAAAACCTTGACTCGACCATTAGCGGTTTACAGCTTTGCTTTGGACAACAGGATGTGCTCAAGCATTCGACCTCAAATCACTCTGTGTCAAAATCAGAAGCTCTATCTGTCTCCCGCCAGAACCCTCCCTCCGCCACCTCCTCCTTCTCCTCCTCCGCCGCGATGGGCAGGCTGTGTGACGACTCTCTGAGAGGACAGATGGACGGTTGAGGGGAGGATGTGTTTAGGGGGAGAGAGGGGAAAGAAATCAGGTTATAGACGGAGACGGAGGCACTGAAACGTGGATTTCCTGTTTTAGATCCTAACTAATGTAAAGCTATTTTTATTCTTCTCTGAAAACTTGTTTTTGAGAAGCAGATGTGTCATTTAAAGAGTAAATAATGTCTAATTTGGTCTCATGTGTTGCATTTATTTTAATGCATTGCACCAGTGCAAAGAAATAAGATTAAAACAGGACAAATAAAGAGAAGGCGCCATTTAGAAGGTCCAGCCAGAGGAGGTCACTGTCCCACACTCATGATGAACACATATAGATACTAATAATGATCACTTACTACCTTTATTGTGATGTAGATCTGTAAAGCTTATAATTAACAAAGCTCTCTTTCTCATGTATATATGAATAGAAACAGGAAGAGCCGCCCTTCAAACATCCTCTGCAGTGCCACCAGTCAGCTGGAGCCTGTTTTCTTTAAGCTGCAGTTCCCGCTCGGCGCCAGCAGAGGGCACTCACACGTTAGAGAGCGCCCACTCATGCTGCCCCCACTGAGGGCTACACCCTGCCACCATTCAGGCCCGTTAGAGTACATCTAAACGGAGCCAAAACAATGGTTTTTTGCAAGGTCACAGCTGGAATGGGAGTAGGAGTTGATGGGAATGTTGAGGTGACGGGTCTCCCTTTACCTTTAGACAAGCACAGCCGAGCAAAAAGTGCTATTAGCATTTGTGCGTAGGTGGCAGGAGCTTAAAAAAATCTAGGGTAAATAAAAGCAGCCTCCAGCAAATGCTTGATAAGCATTATTTTCTCTGACAGTATTTATTTTCTGAAGTAACGCTATAGAATAAAACATGAAATGCGTATTCTGTGACTTAGAGCTGCTTGGTCAAGACTTACGTCCCACTTATCTTAAGTTACATGTTTTATTTAAAGATTGTTTTGTCTTTAAGCTTACACCTGAGCACTGATGCGAGTGAAATCACTGGCAGGCCTTAATCCAGTCAGATGTAAGTAAATAAAGGAGACGGGCTCTGTTGGGTCTGACGTAGGGACAGTTTTAAAGGTCTTCCTGCACACCGATAGAAAAACTGTTAAAACGAGAGATAAACAATAATGTGGAGCAATTTCAGAATCCAGACAAAGCACATAAACGCAGCTCAGATAAAGAAAGACCATTACAGTAACTGTAATTTGCATAATTTTACACATAATATCCAGCGCCTGCCTGTCAGAGCTTTCAAACACACACGCGCGCGCAGGC